CATTGAAAAAGAAAAGGACCAGGCAGATGTGTGTAATTTTGTGCACAGACTCCCGTGGATTGATGAAACTGCAGGGCCTGTGAGATTTCCAGTTCTGGGAATTACCCTTTGTAGAACGTATTCACAAAGCTCTGCATTTCTTGTTCCGGCGCAGTTATTTTAGCGGTTCAGCAACATTTAAATGATTGATAGGTTTCTTTTTTTAAAGGCTTCTAAAGCTGCAGACAAAACACATGTAAAAGGACACAAACGGAGCGATGTCTAGAGACAGTTTCCTTTTTCTGCCTTTTCCTTCTCAGTCACGATGGGGGATTTCGGTGACAAGAAAGCCGTTAAGTCTGCAGCAAGCGTTCACAGCAGCCTTCAGTGTATTCAGGCTGAAGAAACACTTTTCCTTTTGCAACCCGAGTGCTGGTACTGCCAAACCCCGTCTTCTAACGAAAAAAACACAATTGTGGCAGTGATAAACAGGAAACCTTGCTATTTTTTCAGCTTTGCATTCTTAACACTGACAGATTTTTACGCTGATTGATGTGACTTCCCCTGCTGGTATCTGCTTAGTTGATGTCAGTACTTTTGAACTGGTGCACAATTTAGTTGGACATATTATAGATTGCCTTCATTCTCCATAATTAGTCAGGTTTTTAAAACATTTTTTTGTGCGGAATAAGAATACGCTTTTTGAGTGCCTGTTCTCCTAGATTAAATTATATCAACAGCGGCAAAAGAAAAATTTATGAGACCGTTTATCTCCCTCATCCTGGAGACCGAGCCTTAACAAGCAGCATACAGATATCTTAATCCCAGCATTTTATCACTTACATATTCTGTTATTCCTAGAAGTGCCTGATGTGTCAAAGCTGGAATGAATTGAAATTGAGCCACAGACTGTTTGTTGATGAGCCACTGATTTTGTTTCCTAAGAAGTGACCTATGTGGTCTTGTTAAACGCAAGGCTGGAGAAGCAATATTCTTATGACCAACTTTCTCATGAAAAAATAGTATAAGTGTTTTCTTATCTTGAACACTAGAGAGTTTTTTATGTGCCTGCTTCTTTCTTTTCCAAACAATATAGCAGGAATGTGTTGCAATTAAAACTACATTCAAATTCTAAACCTTATGTTTCTTCACAAAATAGTCAATAGAGATGGTAAATATATACATATCCAGTAATAATCAGCAGAAATTCCAAAGGTTAATCTGCTTGGGTTGATCATATAGACTTAATTTATTTTTGCAGTGTAATGTCTCATCATTTTGCAGTGTAAAATAGTAAACAGTGTTTTATACATATTAAAGTCTAACTCTGCTTTTGTGCTTTATTTTTTCCAGTTCCAGATGAACTCCTTTTGGTGTGAGTATGGCTTTTCTTAAACCATTTAATAACTTTTGTGTTTACAACAACTTGTTTCTAACATGTTATAATTAGAGATGTATAGTGCATATTGCATATGTACATTTTGACTGTAGTATTATGCATCACATACCTATTTCTAACAGGTGCCTTAACAGGAGACCTGTTTTGCTATTTAAAATAATAAGCAATATAATTTTTACTAAGGACTTCATAAAGTTTCAGCTGTAACACAGCTGTTCAACTCTCTCTGTGTCCAATTTACAGTGTTCTTGTGTTTCATCTGTGTGCACAATTACTGGCACCCTGCTATAGGGATAGCTTTATTCATCTGTCCATTACTGGAAAGCTGCTTATTCCTGAAAAGTGTGGCAGTAATCTAAAGATTATCCCAGAAGCGCAGGGCACAAGCTGGGACTCTGACCCTGATGAGATGCCAGCCTGTTGCGGGACCCAAACACAAGCACAAACACAGAGGAACACTTTGCAGACCCCAGTACACCTAGCTGGCATGTCTTTAAAATGTGGGTGGAAGCTGGAATAACTTAAGAAAAGCCTTTTTATTCATTCTTTTCAATGTATTTATTCATCATTTTTTTCCTAAATTCTTAGTCCAATACAGGGTTATGATTGTATGCAGTTCTATTATATTTTTTTTCTGTATGTAAGCACACAAAAATCCTTCAATGCATGTTCACAGCTGAACAAAGCAAAAACAAATGCAAGATTAAAATGAAGTAAGCAGTCCCTCTTCCATATTCCACTAAATCTCAGCCATCTGCTGAAACTGGCTTTGTGGAGATATAGAGAGGGCACTATGGAGAAGGTCAGCAGTACATCATTTTAGACCTGTCCAAGTGGCACATTAGAAAAAGAGACTGCTGTGCTATCTGCCAATAAGATACCCGTGGTCCACTTCCTGCTCCGTGCACTAAGAATTAGAGTTTAGTCCTGTTAATTAATGGTACACAAACTATATGAAAGGATCCTTTGGTGATGTGGAGCTGAAGTGGACCCTGCTATATGTTTTTCTTCGAGCCTTTTAGTTTTCCCCCCCATTTTTGAGCTACAGTTAAAAATGCTTTAAAAAGTCGTGTCATCTGTATTTGATTACACTCCCTACCCTGCGGGTGTTTTAATGGGACTTTTCAATCAGAAAGTTTGATTTGTCACAAAATATGCTTTTGCAAGTCTAAAATAACAAGCTGAAAGACTCCCAGTATATAATGGATTTTACTGTCCTGCTTTCTTGTTACTCTAGTCAGACGCCAACTTCTTGTTCCCAGATAAATCCCAGTCTGGACACTTCATTGCTTCTTGTCCCAGAAGTAGGCTCCAGCCTCACTTAATTAGTCATCCTTATGTGTTTGCCAAAATCTGCAGATCTAGCTGTTTATGTTTCTTGATTACTCACTGAAGGACCCCATAACTATGATAGTCATGGTATGAAAATTATACTTTACTCAGTATTTATTTGTTTCTACTGTCAATCTTATATTTAAGGTGATAAACATTTAAATGCACATGTGATTAATGCAGTAAGCTGCAAAAGCAAACTTTGAACTCATGACTTAAAAAAATTCAGGAGCTTTGAGGGGGATTTTTGGTATCTTTTCATTACAATGGAGGTAAATTGAGCATTTCCAAGTCTTTGCCTAGAGATTAATTTCAATTCAGATATTTCTGCTCACTAGTTTTGAACCCCACCAATCTTTATAAAGCTCTGTCTCTCAAATGTTGCCTGGTCTACATTATAAGAATATCAGCGTCTCTCTTGCATCTCTGCAATTTATGACTGCTAAGATTCTATATTCAAAGAAACAAAATTTAAGACAGTTGTGTTTAAATTAACCAGTTAGACTGTTTTTAGTTTAAAATATATAAATACATAGATTAAATCTTCCATTGGAATGCAGAATTTGCCATAATTATGATAAAATTAGACTCAACACCAGCCGCATGTGCAAATCAGATAGGGTTTATCCAGATTTCCACACTTCTTAACATATTTCAAGAGTTTACTTAATGGTAGATGACAACAACTGTTCTTGTGAAATGTTTGAAAACAAATTGGGGTTTCCCTTATTACAGAACATCAAACAATAACTATATGCCTTTGGAAACACTTGATCTATGTCTTACTGTGTATGGCCAATACGTGGCAGTAGGAGGGCTGTTGCTTTATCTGTGATGAATAATAACACAAAAGCCTTAAGTTACAGATAATGTTTCAGTGCAGCCCACAGTAGTCTAATAGATGTTTTGGAATCACTATGTTTGGGTGATTAAGATCAACAGTTTGAGTGCCAGTGTGGAATGAGAGTGGCAAGGCTTTGGGAAAGCTGGAGTTGGTCCCTTATTTAAAC